GTGTTTTTTTTTTTTTTTTGTGAAAGTGTATGTACAGTAGCATTGATCGTCATTTGTTAATGTACGGTATAATTTGATAATATGTGTTCTTTCCTTAATCAATGATTTTTTCAGGAATTTCTGTAACTTGAGGATTATTTTTCATTTTCTGAGTAATAGTGTGCTCAGCATTGTTTTCCGTGGTAATATTTGTATGCTTAATGTAATATTCAGTAATTTGAGGAAGAATATAGAATTTCTGGAAAGCTGAAATGTCAGTCTCACAATGTGCTTCTTTGCGATTTTCTTCATAACTTGGAAGTTCAGACTTGAATGGGCCTTTATGCCAAATCTGAATAGTTCTAAAATTTGGTATTCTTAAAGAGATTTTTTGGGCTGTGGGCGATACGAGAATTGAATTAGTTTGCAGCAGTTGCATATCATTTTCTCATACCAAAGGGATTTACCAACATTATTCTTATGGCAGTGTGATGACGTCGCGTAGACAAGCTGGAGAGTAAAAAGTAACTCTTTGATCACTTCTGTTAGATCTAAACAATTAGTTAGTAGTATTTCTCCATTTTTCTTATCAAAAGTAGTATTTCTCCATATTTACTTGTATTCCTTAGTTCCTTTTCTCCTATCACAGTTATTGGTTCTATTTAGGTTCTGTTATCCACGAAATGTTGGATTCTCTTGTTGTTATACTATCCAATTCCTGCTACTTCCTTTTCTTTGTGGTTTCTGTTACTCCAATATATGTTACACAGCCTTTGATTAATATGTGATGTTCTCAATATAGTTGCTTCTTTAGTCTTATCAGAGGTTCTTTATTTCATCTTATGCTGGAAGGATGAAGATGGAAGCACCTCCAACAGTTTTGTTTACTGATGATGATAGAAAGAACCTGGAGCAGTTGCTTGATGTCTTTGGACGTGTTGTCTCTCTTGATGACATTGCTGCAGCTTATTGTAAAGCAGGTCGGGATCCAACTATTGCGNTTATTGCAGGTGATATACTTGGAGATCTGCAAGCTAGCACCTCTATAACTACTACCTCTGCATCAGAAGAAAAAATAGAGGATTCTTTGACATTGACTTCTGAATCCGAATTTGAGGAAGTAGGAGATTCTGTGACATTAACTTCTGAATCTGCATCTGATATTCATGCCAAGAGAGCTGGTCCCAGTTCATCAAAGCAAAAAAAGTTATCAGTGTCTATGGGGACTGTCTCAAGCATGATCCCAAGAGACTATGTGACAAATAGGCCACTCATTCCAGAAACTTCTACGAGAATCAAGCCACTGAAATTAAGTGTGGATGATTTTTTTACCTCAGAGATAAGGGATGAGAAAGCTCCATTAGGTGCTGCCGCTATGAGTGAAACCCTGCCAGGCAGTGTTGAGGAGTTCCTCTTCAAAATGCTCGGAGATCGATTCTCTCTTGACATGAGTGTAATTGAAGATGTTGTGGGTGAGCACTTTGCTTAAGTCTATTCTAAGTATTTGTAAGATTACTTGAGAAGTAGCTTTCACATATGGAGTGACACTAATGTTTACTTTTAATGCCTGAAATCGCGTCATTTCTTTCTTCACTTCTTTTTGGTAATCTTCCAATAAAACTTGCAACAGTCGGTTAAATGTTTCTTTAAAGTCTATTTTGGGACTTAATTTTGTGAACTAGAATGCAACTTGTGGATAGTCCACGTATTCCTGTTGTGCTTAATATTACCAAGCCCCTTCCTGGAAAGGGTATCTGCTTTATAGGTTGCACTTAGATAGCTTTACTTTCCATTCCTTCTTTTTCTTCCTTGTAACTGCATCCTAATTCCTATTGAGCTGTCACAATTTCTGGACAATTTCTTTGCTAATCTGATGTTGTTGGATTTGCAGGCCAGTGCGGCTATGATCTAAATAAGGTGAGTGTGCTCCAATTCCATCACTTCTTATACTTTCTATATCTATTTTGAGGCATCAAATGGTAACCTTATATTTGGCTCAATTTTATATTTACATTCAGCATCTGCATATTTGCACTTAATTCTGTATGCTCTTACTCAGTAATTGGCACCACGGCATAATCGAAATAAGTCTTGAGCATACATGTGAAGGTTGTTCTTCTAAGCATCTGCATATATCTAGCCCGTCTATTCTCCCACTCCCACATGTTACCTAGGTACTATTGAAAGCAAGTCTTGTGTTTGGTTTGATTGGCTATATGCTTCTCTAGGTCCTCTTTAAGGTTAATCCTGTTCCTGGTTTGGAAGTCTTATAAGCAGTTTTAAGGATTCAAGTGTGTGGTATGAAGTCATTATTTAATTAAAAGTTAATTATGCTCCATTGGATTTACCTAAGTAGCTATTAAACCTCTATCATGGTTAAAGTAATAACCTCATGTACTTAATTAGCTTGCGAAATTAGGGACTAATGAGTGGATTTCTTGCTGACTCTGGTTTACTTTCATGGTGAGAAACCACAATGCATGTGTGGAATCATGCAAAATTGCAGGAGGAATGAGGCCAGGTTGCTGTTAGACTTGTAGAAGCTTAGTTCTCATGCTAAGCAGACAAGACAATGCTCGGCTAGTGCTGTTTATCTTCTGTTTCTGAATAAATTGGCCTGTTTTTTAGTGTCCTGCTTGGGGTGCTTGTATGTTTGTCTTTTCCTGATTTTCAGAAACTATGCATACATACTACATATAGATTGATTTACTTCTCTAGACAGATTTGCTTGTCGCGTTAACCTGCATGTTTCCTTATATAAGGCCTCCTTTCCTTTGAATATGCAGAGTATGGATAAGCTGCTAGATTTGTCAGCATCAACTTTGGGAAAGCGTGATGATATTTTAGACATAGGTGTTCAGAAAGTAAGTTTTCTTGTATGTCACTTGGTGTTGCTCCTGTCTGCTGTAAAACTGGATAAGATACCGTCACACTTACAAGTGACAATAATTTAGTGGTAATGATCTTGAGGCAGTCTGTTTAGCCTTGCTTTCATTCTTCCTGGTCATGCTCTTGGAGGAAAATGAGATTTCTTTTTCACAATAAAACCTGGGAAGGATAGTGCTTTCTCTTCTATTCTCCTCTTCCTCCCCCTTCCCTCTTTCCATTCACTCCTCACCCCAGTTTGTTCTCTCCCCCTGGCTCTCACTCTCATCTGGCCTGAGAAGGGTCGTAATGTGTGTAGTTATACAGATTGTTTTGCTTTGAGAGATGGGTTCCACGTCTATACAAATCTACATGGTAGGTAATCTCTTGACTGAATACCAAAGACCAGGTCATGCGCTAGAATTGATGTGCAAAAATAAATTCAAGTCAAAATTAACCCACTGATTACCCCTTCAGAAACAAAATAGCAATGTAATCCTTTTGGGAGGTAATTATATAAGGGATTTTATTTGTAGACAATATATTTCTACGAGGTAACTTCTCTAAAATTGGAAATTGTTTTGGATCTGTAGCTTACATAGTCCGGCTAAACCAAATTGACGTTGCTTCTAGCTGTAAAAAGAGCTTACAAGATTAATAATGTTTGACTCACCATATAATTATTTATATTCCTTTGAAATCTAGGAATTATTTTTTATATTATTGGGCTGCTTAGATGGTCAGACCAGTTTCCTCGTCTCTCAAATTAAAGGGAACATATAACCAACCACTCGTCTCCTATCCCTTATTACATGAGCTACTCCACCTGTAAGAATTTATTTTAATCTTTAGTGATAATTTTATATCCGTTCCAGATGCAATTGAAATTGTCCAAGTATTCAAGTGTCAATCACATGAATTTTTTCTTTACTTACTATGCTTTATCTGATCTGATGTAACAGTCCGTGGAGAGTCCAGATTTTGCATCAGTTGCATCGCATGAGACACCTTCAATGCAAGATCCAACCAGCCGGTACTTTGCCCTCCAGAAACTATCTTCTAGAATTTTTATGTTCAGGAATAGAACTTTTTGTTAAATAGATTTCTTAATTTGCAAGGTGTTGTGACTTGGAGGTCATCCTTCTTCTTTTGCTAATGCAGTTCCAAAGCAAAGAATATGACTAAAAATGGGTTCAACTTATCTAAGAAGGAGAAGGACAGGTATGAGCTTCAGAAGGAAGTTCTACAGACATTGTTTAATGTGCCTGCAAGACATGATGGTGTGGATGACGTGATTCGTCATGTGAGGGAAGTTGAAAAGTCTAGGCGATTAAGCCAGTTTGTAGTGAAACCATCACAGGAGACTGTAGAACGCCAGATTCTTATCAGGACACCACAGAGTGATGCAAAAAGTAAGCACTTCATTTGTTTATTACGTGTGTTGTGCAGATGAAATAAGTGTATATGGTAACATATGGCTTCTTATCAAGGATTTCATATCTTCTTTTGATTGCCTTTTTCTATTGATTTTGTACTCTTTTTTTTTGATTAGGTAAATAATTTTATTAACAATTGGGGAGGAAACCCCGTATATAAGCCGTATACCAAAAAGAGAGAATCTGCACCAAAATATGGTTCTCAACAAAAGAAGCCCAATCCTCTATACAAATAGGAACTGTTTTGCAATTTTACAAAGTCTGTGTTGTTGGCAATGATTGAGTAGGGTTGCATGATATTCAACCAATCTACGGTTGCACTTTTAGATGGCTTCAAACTGCTAAGTAAATAAGCTTTGTTCTCTCTCTTTTTTTCTTTTGGGTGGGGGGTGGGGTGGGAGGACTTATTTCTTTAATAGAATATCACTAATGAAAGTGTTTCATTCTCTTAGCTATTTTATTTCACTTTGTTACATAAACACCTCATAATTTTCTATTATTAGATGGTGAGGAGAATGAAGAAAGCTACGAAGTTCTCCGAAAAGCTGTAAAGGAGTATTGGCTTACAATGAAAGAGTACTATAAAGCAGTGAGTCACATAACCTCTCTTATACTGTTTCATGATCAGAATAACATTAAGATGCGTGTTATCCAAAAAAAAAATCACATTAAGATGCTTCATTCTGTGTTGATTGAGGTGAAGAAAAGTTTAGTATGTTAAGTCATGACTGGTATTATAAACTTAAATTTTGTTCCAGGCTGCTGAAGCATTTCAAAAAGGAGATCAGGTCAAGGCACACAGATTCCTGGAAGAGGTATGGTGTTTGTTCCTTTATCTAAAGTGACTTTCCTTCGTGCTTACATTTGAAAATGTTAGTGGAAATAACTGGGCTCTCTATGAGATGTTCTACTAGTGGTATCGGCTGGGTGGATGGTGTGCAGTTACCACCTTAGCTTATTAAGTGGTCAGACTTAAGAGTTCTGTCATCTTCCGTTAAACTATCCAAATATCTACTTGGTTCTTGCTCTATACCTATCAAGGGAGGTTTTAGCTTTTAGTTAGCCGACAAATACCAAAACGCAAAGTAAGTTGAGGAGTATAAAACGCCTTTGAAGATAGTGCTTCCAGGTTCAGTTCTTAATATTCCATGACGTCTTTCACTTCTAAAATACTCCAACATCACCTATCACGAAAAAAAAGGCTCTAAATTCGTGCTGGAGTACATGTCCAATATGTGCGAACTCTTCTCTTCCCAAAAGTTGATCTTGCCTTGGTTGATCCACTTGTTTAAATTTTCATTATGGTGCTGTGCTGGCATTTTACTCATAATCGTCTCATGGGACAGGGAAACTTTTTCATGACAAAGGCCCGAGAGACTGATGAACAATCCACTCAAAAGCTTCTTGAAAACAGGTTCGGCAGAGAACCACCTTCCTCTCTCTTGTCTTTCTCTACTCATATATTTTGCTTACAGAGCTTGTATTTACACCAATACCTTGGGTGCAGTTACAGCAAAGAAATTGTGACTGTCGATCTTCACGATTTTGAGCCAAAGGAAGCAGTGCGCTATCTCAAATTTCAGTTGACATCTCTTTGTGGCATCTCCTGTAGGTTATTGTCATTACATGCCTTCTTCAACTTTTTAATATAAGAATTGACATTGATAACTTTCCGTTCATCAGCTATTCAATATCTCAAAATCATAGTTGGGATCACCAATGAAGAAGCCAAAGGTATTCGGAAGCGTGTGGTATGACCTGCTCCTATGTCCTTTTTTTTTGTGCTGATATTTTTGAATAATTTGGTCCATCTCCTTGTCAAAAAAGAATAATTTTATCGATCTGCTGCTGTGTTTCTCATGGATGTACATTATCGATGATTGGAATATTATACTTTACAAAAAAAGAGGGTTTCTTAGGACCTAGAAATTGCTTTGTGAAGAACATTGCTGTTTGTGATTCTTCTGTCACTGCCATGTCATGCATGGTGTGGCCCCTTCTAAAAATCTAGATGGTTCTAAATATTTGACCTTGATGTCTAAACAATTCATACCAGATTGGTAATTCTAGATGATTATAGACCTAAAATATGAGATGTGGGAAGTTTAAATACAAATATGATGTATGCCAGTTCATCTTTTCACATTTAAAAATATGAAAGGGAAAGATCACACTTTCATGAGCACGTCTTCCATTTACATCTTTCATAAATGTAAATCCTCAATGTTGAAGCAGCGATATCTTCTTCTTTATACTCGCTTGCTGGGAGCGCAACAGTGCTGAAATGGTGACTATTTAACTATACAGTGGAGCACCGTCTGGAACTTTACTGAGGTGTCAGTATAGTTAGTGTAATCATTCATAGCATCAACATAGGAAATTTAATGATGATATTTAAATTGTTATTTCTAGGAAATATATGATATGATTATTTCCAATATATATAAGAAAGCGCGTTTTAGAGATTGTTCTAGTCCTGATCTTCTCATTTCCACTATTTTGATCAAGAATATTTTTATTTAAAGGACTTTGGATAAACTAGGATTGCGAAACGATGCATTTAAAAGGATTCAACCCATGCCGTGGGATTAGAGGGAATTTTATGAATTTTATTCTATCTGATGTCTGTTGTTTCATATCCCATATAGTAAATCTGAATGAATAAATTATCTTTGTTCCACTTATGTTACATGTCATTGAATAAATTTTCTTTGTTCTACTTATGTTACATTCTTTACCTACTTCAACCAACCTTTGTTAAACATAAGTATGATACTAAGATATTTGAAGCAGATACTCAAACTTTTGGAGAGGGCCTCGATAGCATGGACGGAAGAAGATAATGGCAAAGCAACTGTGATAAAAGCAGATGAAATAGATCCAAGGAAACTGACTTTTGCTAAAAAATCAACTGTCTGAGCCTGAAATACTTCCGCATTTTTTGCGCAGACAGGAAACAACCAAATTGGTCTTTTAGCCCCTTGTTGCTGGCAGAAAGACTTCAAAGGAATCCTTAAATTTTCTGTTCCTCTTAATTCTCAACCAATAAAGTTCTGCTTTGGCACCGTTTACTCAGACTAATGTTTTGCTCATTGATATCACGAGTAGATTAACCAATACATTTGCTTTCGCTTGCCTTTATTCAACTTAGAATATATATAAAATTAGATACTATAATTTGCATTCCATGATTGATTGCAAGTACATTGATCCAGGATTTTATCATATTGGAGTAAAAAACGGATGACATCAGTGATGGTTTTAACAATCTTTTGATTCGTTGTAACTTTTACTATGGATTACGGTATGTTTGAGCTCGAGAGTGAACTCCAACTTGTTAAACTTAATTTGTGTAAGAGAGTTCACCATGTATTCTCGATTTCACTTTCCAATTTTAAGACGCATAAGATATTTAAAATGAATTTGTTTAACATGGATCGAGCTATCTCCGCAGGGAGGATTGAGGTAGTACGCATCTTTTCCGCCAAACTTTTCATTCCAACAAGCTTTGGAAAATATTCATCAATATCTTAATTTTCATTGTCCATAACTCTGTTGTAATGTGCAGAAATGGCAATAAAAAAAATTGCATGTTACAGCCAAAGCCAACTCTTATTATCATTGGGCATATGCCCCGATTGAAGAGATTGCAGAGTTTGCTTGATCTAATTTGGACTTAAAATTATTTACAACTATAAGATACAAAATCTATCAAAAAGGCTAAAGAGCAAGTTAGAGAAGGAGCTAACAAAAACACTCAATTAATTTAGATGACAAGCGATTACACCTGAAATGATAACATTCAAGCTAATGCAGGAGATATCATCTGGAGATTGATCATTGTGTAAGTCTTTGCATCTCATTTTGGTCATTCAAAGTCTCAATAAGAAGAGGAGGGGCGTATTGGGCGGTTCCTTGGTGCTCCTCTGAGTCTTGGCAAAATGAAAGTATTATGGTATCAATTGACATCTCCACAACGGCAAAGAAAAGAGTTGCCACAACGTAGCCAAGACTCCAGCAGACCTGCATTAGAAACACGGATCAAGCTAGAGATACTACACTTAATTATCTAGGCATTTACAGATTCACTGCAGCAACATATGTTATGTATCAGTTAGTCTTGCATCATTATCATAAGCAATCATCAAGTGAAATCTTCTAACCACACCTTTCCTGAATAGTATTCTGTAAGTTTATGTATATAGGTCTTCTTTCTCTGTGTCTAGCTCTACACGTTGCATAATTTGAAGTGGTAATAAAATTGCTCAAAGGATCTGAGCACCTTGTTGAAGTGATAATAAAATTGCTCAAAGGATCTGAGCACTTTGTTGAAGTGGTAATAGAATTGCCCAAAGGATCTGAGCACTTTGTTGAAGTGGTAATAGAATTGCCCAAAGGATCTGAGCACTTTCTTAATTATTAGTTTTGTAAAATAGATAGTTGCATCTACTTAAATGGATAATCCAACCAACAGAATTAGACTTACCAGCACTGGGAATATTGGGGATGAGATCTTGTTATGTCCAGACTTGTACTTGTGAGTATCCAACATGAGAAAAGCAAAAAGTGCACTTGCAAGACTGACACACAGCTTCCCAAGAAAGAGAATAACATCGCCAATGACATTCACCTTTCCGATCCGAAGGATGTTGCTGATAATGAGATCAGTTGCAATCTCAGAAGACTTGAAAAAGCTCTTTCCTGTTATAGCTATCTGCAATGTATCACAAGCACCATCATAACTGATGCTGTTACTACAAGTCAAGATCATGCATACAATGATGTCATGTTCTTGTTAATTTAACGTACTAAAAATACGAGTTGAGACCTAATTAGAATTTCAAATCCCATCATAGATTTGAGAGAAACAACAGGCATTACCCGCTTCTAAAAACAAACAATTTAATATCATGTCAGGACACTGAAAAATTTAGCATAAAAAATTGCTAAACTCAACAAAATGTCATGTTTTCCCAAGCATACTGCACTAAACTTGAGGAACATCAAATGGGATTGCAACACTTATTACTTACCAAGATGTAAGCATTACGATTCACAGATTTGATGATCCAACTAATACACCGCAGGCAACCTTGTGAGGAATTATATACCATTCTTCCAACCCAACTTTCTGGTGCTGAATTAGCAACTTTAAGTTTACGCCGGAGTGCTTCAAGTAGAAACCTGATAGACTCTATAAAAGAAACAATCAGCGAACCAAGAGCAACAGATCCAACGCTGTAACGTATAAGCCGCTTCATAGAGGAGAACACTGGGAGAAATGAAATTTCTGGCTGCACTTGCAAAAATAGAAGCTAATCAGTCAGCAGAACATACCCGAAAAATTACTCTTGTATTAAATCAGGAACCTTTTTATCCCAATAATATATGAAACAGGCTACTAAAGCTGATTGCATGCGAGTATCAAACAATAAACATGATTAAGCGAAGAAATAGCAGAAATTCAGAATGATTTGGAAAAAAACATGTAATGATAATTGAAAGAAAGTAATATGGACTAATAAGAGTAGGTTAAACTTCACAAAAGATGAAATAGTTCTGAAATGTAGAGATGAAATTATTCATGTATATATGTTCAAATGCATTACTGGAAAAATAAGAGTAGAATTTATGACCTACCAATGTTCCGCCTCGAGACCAATAGTATGTAGCAACAGAGCCTGCAATAACCGTTGCAGAGCTTGCCACGAAAAACTGTGTGGCCCAATAGCAGCCAAACAAGTGGAAAAGAATTGCAACACCAATATGAGAAGTATACTGGATACTGTATCCACAGCAACGATCGCAGCTCACTCTTTTTGATTTGAGATCATACGCACAGCAGTTGGTGTTGCAATCATTCTGGACAATTCGTCCAGAACTAAAAAGATGAAGTGCAGCTGAAAACCAAAACATGTAGAAGATTGCTAGGATAGCATATGGAATGATGGGGAAAATTATTAGTGCTTGTACTTCTCCAATAACCTTAGCAGCTACCTGCAATTTAAATGCTCATTTATCATTTTAAGTAAATTTATCTAGAGATAAGAAGCTTAATACTCAACCCATGAACAGAAAAGAAACCAAACTGCTATTAAGTCAATTCCTTCATTATCTAGGGAATATAAATTAAGATGAACTACTCTTCTAGGTCAACGTTTTGCCTCAGAGAGCAGATGACGTGTTTCTTAATGTAATCTTTATTCTTATGGTTATTCTGGTGTTAGTATAAATTTGACTTCATGAAGATACAACTGAAATAAATGCAGGCGTACAAAACCTGTAATACCAAGAAATAGTCAAAAAAGCTACTTGCTCTTTTTCTGCAAATAGGAAAATTCTCTCTGTATGGACATAAACTAAGTAATTATCTATAATATCCAGAATCTACCGCATGCTTCTCGTGTTTTTGATAGTCTTTATCTTCTTTTTTTAAAAGAAAATTAGAAGACATTTATCTAGCAAAAGGCAGTTATAACATTCTTTTGTGTATGTGGGGGTCATCATTTCCATGTAAAAGGGCAGAATAAAATCATGTTTAGTTTAATACTCCATCGTGAAGGGCTAAAATATAGAGAGGAAAAAAGGTGTAGAGGGTGTTACTCCTCTGAACGCATATAACACAGTGCTATAAGGCTGATTGTATATTTTTGCTGTATGTTTGGTGCGGAAGTGAGTATGCTCGGGAGGCTGAATCACAGATAGATTTTGTAGAGTCCTTCCACTGTTAGAAAGAACTACACCTTTTGCTTTTTGCTTTTTTCCGTTTGAATGTACATATATTACACTGTAATTTACAGCACCATCTTAGTGCTGATTATTAACGAAATTACCCTTTTATAGCTTAATAAAATGATAATAACAACATGGTGCTATATGGCTCAGAAAGGGAGAGAGATGGACTTACCTTCAGGACAGAAGTAGCCATAAGGATACGTCGCACTATGGCGATGGATGACAAGACCGAAATAATCATCACAGCAGTCATGAGAACCGCAGCAGCATGGAGGTGACTTATTTCCTACCAAGTAGATAATTTGATTAAATGCTACACCAACCGAAAAGCAAACTATTACATAGAGAATGGTAAAACTGAAAAATCAAGCATACCCTTGCAGACACATGATAATACGGATCATGTTCACCAATGATGGGGGAGATAGAGTCATTGCCAATCCATCCAGCTTGATAGGAAAGGAGGATAGTTTTGTCAGTGTACTCGATGGAAACATATGATGTTCAATTACACAACAAACATAAGATAGAATGCAGGACTTAGAACTTCAAATAGGGAGCATAAATTTTGTCAGAGTGTGCTTCATCTCAATTACAAACTGGATATAGAACTGAAAATTGACATGAATTACTATTAAGACATAACAACCGGAAGGAAAACATTAAGAAACAGGGCCTAACCTTTCAAGTAGTAGAACATTGTGACTGAAATAATAAGGGCATTAAAGAGGACGACAGTTATCCAAGGCATTGCAGCCACTAAGTGACGAATCATCAAAAGCCATATCACTGATAGAAACACTGGCAAAATCCCTCCACAAACAATCAACACTCCCCATGACTTACCAACATCAGCTACATATCTCTGCAAATGAGACTCAGATGTGAAATTTGAACTCTTAAATAATAGAATATCTTACCATAGAGAATACGAGTGAGACACCAAGTTTGATATAATATGTGTTACTTGAACATTTCAGGGTTCCGCTCTTTTAGTCATCGTTTGACCATTGACTACACAGGTCAAATGAAACATGTTTGTTGTTTATGAAAATGAGTTACACTTTTAGTGATTGAAAAAAGAGATCCTCAGTTTTTGTGGATATGAAAAGGAACACCTTTTTTACATGCTCTTATGTATCCTGATGCAGTTCCAAGTGAAAACGTCATCTACAGCCAATGAAACGGGTAATCTACATCTCTTGGGTGTCTCATTTTTAATACAAATTTCAAAAGTATTTTAGCTGAGTACTTTACAAGAAAAACAAGAGAATAGTAAGTCACGCAACCTTTAAGACCAACGATCGAGAGTTAATTAAGCCATGGATGGATTTATCGACTGCAATGTCCTCAACAATGTTAACACCGCCCATCTCCCTCCAATGCCGCAAAGACACATTCGATGCACGGGCAATAAGCTGGCAGCTCCAATAAACTGGCACAAAACATTAGA